TCCCCCGCCATGACATCTAGTGGGGGATCTTGTCCCCTGCTAGCTGTCACAATTTAAAAAAAACGTGGCCATGCATTACTCATTCAGTATTCTGTGAATGGAAAAACTACCAGTTCTGACAACCTTTGCGGCTGTCGGCTTGTAGTACTCAATGAACTACCACAGCGCTGTTAAGTGCTATGGTAGTTCATTGATTCTTCCTTTCAGTGTGTGTCTGCTTCCCTTTACAATGTATAGGCACACAGATACACTGACAGGTCTGCAAGAGTCCTGCATGGCACCAGCGATCTGCTGATTGCTGGTGCAATGGTTTACGGGCTGCAAAAAAATGGGCATTCATTTTTTTTTATTAAAAGTTAAACATATTCTTTAACTCTTTTCTGCGAAGAGTGGAAGTTCAGGGAAGCAGCACTGGGAGACCAGAAGCCAGCAATACTGAAAGTTACAAACTGCAAATGCTGTGGTATACATTTTAACAAATAGTTTACTGGAAAGTTTTAGATTTTGTGCTCAGTCTGTTAAGCTAAAAAAAATTATGAGGGATTCAAACCGCTTTAACCACAGATCCTAATGGGAGTGTTGACTGTCGCTTTACATAAACTGCTAGTAGGTTTAACAGGCTTTAGAGCTGCCTTAAGCTTGTTGAAAACCTGCTAGCAGTTTGTTTAATGTTACAGTCAGCAGTCACATGAAGGTAGTTTTTCAACTTCCCTATACTGGGAGTGAAGAGTTCTTCTAAGGCTTTTAGCAAAGCTGTTCAAAGCTTGCTGTATACACTGCTGTTATACACACTAAGAGCTCGTTCACACTTGGCTGTTTTACCAACGCTTGCCAAACGCCCCTATAGCGTTTGGCAAGCATTGGTCTGGCGTTTGCGGAGCGTTTTTTAACGCTCGGCAAACGCTCCGCAAACGCCGCATGCGCGGTTTAGGGGCAGTTGCTAGGCGTTTGCCAAGCGTTAAAAACGCCCGACAAATGCCTATAATGCAGTTTGAATGGTGTTACCGCTCCGCAAACGCCCCGCAACCGCGTCGCAAACGCCGGCCGGGCGTTTGCGGAGTGGCACCATAGACTAGAATAGGAGGCTTCAGCGCCTCCTGACTCGACCAGAGGCGTCCGTTTTGCCGCGAGGCAACGCAAACGCTCCCGTTAGAACAGCACCATGTGCTGTAATGTGCAGAATTGGCAGAGGCGTTTGGTAAAAACGCTTCCCAAACGCCTTTCTGCCGCCTGCACACAACGCTAGTGTGAACGTAGCCTTAAGCCCATGTGAACGGGGTCTCAGTGACGTCTTTCCTCCTGGCTCCCCTAAATGCTTTTAGTCCTCATACACACTGGACATTTTTTACAGCAGCTGTTTTTGGCTTTTGACCTGTTTTTTCTACAGCCAGTAAACTCCCCAGCATGTTATCCTATGTATCCATGCACACATAGACTTTAATCAGCATTTTTTAGCTGGGGCGTTTTTTGGCTGGTAAAAAACCCAGAACTAGTGTGTTTCTAGAGGAGTTTTTTGGCTATAAAAACACTAACGCTGAAAAAACGCAGCAAACTGGTGTTTTTGGACGGTTTTTTAGAAACAGAAAAAGTTAAAAAACACAAACACCGCTAAACGCTAATGCAAAAACGCTAAAAAACTCACGCTTTTAACATGACTTTACACAGCTAACATTACCAGCGTTATTAAAACAGTCATTGTTCATGGTGTCTTAGGGGGATTTACTACAACTAGAGCACACAGAATCTGGTGCAGCTGTGCATAGTAACCAATCAATCTCTAGCTTGTTCAATTAAACTTTGACAATAACACCCCGGTCACATCGGGTGTGACTTGGCATGTGATTTGCATGCCATGCGACTTGCAAATCATATGTCAAATTGCACTCTATTGTCCGCTACTACAGCGGTCATATCAGTGCGGTTCCGACTTGGTCGGAGCGGTACCAATTTCTAAAGTAGCACATGCACTACATTTGGTGCGATTTGCATAGACATTTGTGTCACGTCTTGCAAATTGCAACTGAAATCGGCAGGTCCCCCGATTTTGAAATACAGTGAAGTCGCATGATTTCAAAATCGGCTTTGATGTGACCAGGGGCTTAAACATAGAAGCTGATTGGTTATTATGTACAGCTGCACCAGATTCTGTGTGCACCAATTCTAGTAAATCCCATCCCCTCCCTTGTGTTGTGTACAGTTGCATGGTAAGTACACTGTAGGCTGGTGAGTGCATGTAATGTTTTTATGCCTGATTTGATACAGGACTATACCTTATGTACTTTTTTTATGTTGTTCTTAAGTTCTTTTGTTTTATTCCCAGCAACTAGTTAAATTGTGACCTCATACGTGTTTGCTTTTATGTTGTACTGTTTATAATGTTAATACTGTTTGTTTGCTATTCACTATGACAGTGTTAAACAAATAAACAGAAAGACAACACGAATATTGGGCTTCATTAAAACTGAAACATATGGGTTGATTTACTGAAACTGGAGTGTGCAAAATCTGGTGCAGCTGTGCATAGAAACCAGTTAGCTTCCAGTTTTTTTTTTGCCAAAGCTTAACTGAACAAGCGAAGGTCCCACCGCTACGATTTAAAAATTGCACGATTTGTGTGCGATTTCAGGTGCGATTTCTGAAGACTTTATTGCTACTTGTGAAGATTTTCAATGATTTCTTGCTATTTGCCTATTTGCCGTGCGATTTCCATTATATTCTATGTATGTGAAATCACAACAAAACTGCAGAACAAGTTATGCAAGAACTACTTTAGAAATCACGCTGCAGCAAATCGCAAATGTTATGATACTGACATTCACATTCGTTAGATGCGATTTCAGGTGCGATTTCAATTCCCAAATTGCATCGGTATGACCGAGCACTTAGAAGCTGATTGGCTACCATGCACAGCTGCACCAGATTTTGCAATCTACAGTTTTAGCAAACCAACCCCTAATTGTCTAATACAGTGGTCTCCAAACTGCGGTCTGGTGGCCAGATGAGGCCCTTTGCTTGTATTATTCCGGCCCTTGGGGCACTTTTACTCCCACTGATAAAAGACACTATTTCGCCCACTGACACCAACAATGGGGCATAATTACTGCTACTGACATCAATAACAGAACACTATTTGTCTTACCAACAACGGGGCACTATTCCTCCCACTGATACCAACGATGGGGCACTATTCCTCCCACTGATACCAATGATGGGGCACTATTCCTCCCACTGACACCAACGATGGGGCACTATTCCTCCCACTGATACCAATGATGGGGCACTATTCCTCCCACTGATACCAATGATGGGGCACTATTCCTCCCACACTGATACCAACGATGGGGCACTATTCCTCCCACTGATACCAATGTAGGGGCACTATTCCTCCCACTGACACCAACGATGGGGCACTATTCCTCCCACTGATACCAATGATGGGGCACTATTCCTCCCACTGATACCAATGATGGGGCACTATTCCTCCCACTGATACCAACGATGGGGCACTATTCCTCCCACTGATACCAACGATGGGGCACTATTTCTCCCACTGACACCAACGATGGGGCACTATTCCTCCCACTGACACCAACGATGGAGCACTATTTCTCCCACTGATACCAACGATGTGGCACTATTCCTCCCACTGATACCAATGATGGGGCACTATTCCTCCCACTGATACCAATGATGGGGCACCATTTCTCCCACTGATACCAATGATGGGGCACCATTTCTCCCACTGACACCAACGATGGGGCACTATTCCTCCCACTGATACCAACGATGGGACACTATTCCGTCCACTGACACCAACGATGGGGCACTATTCCTCCCACTGATAGCAATGATGGGGCACTATTCCTCCCATTGACACCAACGATGGGGCACTATTCCTCCCACTGACACCAACGATGGAGCACTATTCCTCCCACTGACACCAACGATGGGGCACTATTCCTCCCACTGATACCAACGATTGGGCACTATTCCTCCCACTGATACCAACGATGGGGCACTATTCCTCCCACTGATACCAACGATGGGGCACTATTCCTCCCACTGATACCAACGATGGGGCACTATTCCTCCCACTGATACCAACGATGGGGCACTATTCCTTTCATTAACACCAACAATCAGGCAATATGTCTCCCACTGATACCAACAATGGGGCATAATTCCTGCTACTGACATCAATAACTGGACACTATTTCTCTTACCAACGATGGGGCACTATTCCTCCCACTGACACCAATGATGGGGCACCAGGGGCGGACTGACCATTTGGGAACACGGGCGCTGCCCAAGGGCCTGGGGTCAGTAGGGGGCCCCATGAGATGACCCTGGTACCTTTCATAGGCTTTTTTGGGTGTGGTTTGAGTGTGGGCTAGGACACAGGAGCCCCATGATCCCCTATTGCCCGGGGGCCCCATGAGTTGTCAGTCCGCCCCTGTGGGGCACTATTCCTCCCACTGACACCAAGGATGGAGCACTATTCCTTTCATTAACACCAACACTGAGGCAATATTTCTCCCACTTACAACAACAATTGGGCACTATTCCTCCGACTGACACGAGCAATGGGGCACTATTCCTTCTACTAACACCAACGATGGGGAACTATTCCTCCCACTGACACCAAAGATGGGGCACTATTCTTTGCCCTAATACCAAGGATGTACTGTTTACTCCCACTGATGCCAGGACAATTTTTCTCCCACTGGCCACAGTTCGGCCTCCCTAAAGTCTGAAGGACAGTAAAGTAACCCTCTGTTTAGAAAGTTTGGAGACCCCTTGGTCTAATGAAATGAAAGCAGACAAGCAAAAGTTTCTGGCTACATTTCCACTTCTCCTCCATGTAATAAACATGAAGCCCAATAGACAGTACACATACAGCTCCACACCACCATCTTGTGGTAAATAGAGGTATGGTTGTACTTTATTGTGGAACAACACTAAGGTTAGTGTAGAAAGTTTTTGCATTAAAAATGTATCACCATGAAAGGCTGACGGGTGAGGCGCATTCATAACTATGAGACGAGAAACCATGTTGTGGTGACGGACTGCGAATGTCCATGCCAAGGTACCCCCCCAGTCATGGCCGACCAGAACACAGCTCGAGTAACCTGTAGGAGAGAGAAAAGTAACAATTCAGCACGACATATGGGCATTACACATTATACAGTTGCAAGAAAAAGTATGTGCACCCCTTGGGATTATGTGGAGTTTTGCATGAATTGGGCATAAAATGTGCTCTGAACGTCATCTAAGTCACAACAATAGAAGAACACAGTCTGCTGAACATAATACTACACAAACATTAGATGTTGCCATGGTTTAATTGCACATAACATGTAAACATTCACAGTGCAGGGAGGAAAAAGTATGTGAACCTTTGGACTTAATAACTGGTTGACCCTCCTTTGGCAGCAATAACTTCAACCAAACGTTTCCTGTAGTTGCAGATCAGACCTGCACAACGATCTGGAGTAATTCTGGACCGCTCCTCTTCATAAAACTGTTTCAGTGTAGCAATATTCTTGGGATGTCTGATGTGAATCGCTCTCTTAAGGTCATGCCACATCATTTCAATTGGGTTGAGGTCAGGACTCTGACTGGGCCACTCCAGAAGGCGTATTCTGTGCTGTTGCAGCCATTGTTTTGTTGAATTACTTGTATGCTTTGGGTCATTGTCCTGTTGCATCACCCATCCCCTGCAGAGCTTCAGTTGGCGGACAGATGGTCGTACGTTTTCCTGCAAAATGTCTTGATAAACTCTGGAATTCATTTTCCCATCAATGACAACAATCCGTCCAGGCCCTGAGGCAGCAAAGCAGCCCCAAACCATGATGCTCCCTCCGCCATGTTTTACAGTGGGGATGAGGTTTTGATGTTGGTGTGCTGTGCCTTTTTTTCTCCACACATAGTGTTGTGTGTTCTTCCCAAACAACTCAATCTTGGTTTCATCTGTCCACAGTATATTTTGCCAGTAGTGCTGTGGAACATCCAGGTGCTCTTTTGCAAACTTCAAACGTGTGCTGCAATATTCTTTTTGGACAGCAATGGCTTCCTCCGTGGTGTCCTCCCATGTACTCCATTCTTGTTTAATGTTTTCCTTATTGTAGATGTGTCAACAAAAATGTCAGCATGTGCCAGAGATTTCTGTAGGTCTTTAGCTGACACTCTGGGATTCTTCTTTACCTTCTTTCTTAGTCAACAATTCTTGATCGTAGGTCTTCTGAGAGCTCTTTTCTGCAAGGCATGGTTCACATCAGACAGTGCTTCTTGAAACCAGTAAACCCAAAACAGGTGTGTGTTTTTTAAGGGCAGGACAGCTGTCAGCAACACATCCAATATCATCACACTGATTGGAGTCAAGGTTGGCTCACTCCTGGCTCCAATTAGCTCTGGGAGAAGTCATTAAGCTAGGGCCTCACATACTTTTTCCTCCCTGCACTGTGAATGTTTACATGTTATGTGCAATTAAACCATGGCAACATCTAATGTTTGTGTAGTATTATGTTCAGCAGACTGTGTTCTTCTATTGTTGTGACTTAGATGACGTTCAGAGCACATTTTATGCCCAATTCATGCAAAACTCCACGTAATCCCAAGGGGTTTACATACTTTTTCTTGCAACTGTATACCTTCTTTTTATGAGACACATACACAAGACCCTCACCAAATCCTGTAATGAGATCTTCAACATCCTGCAGAAGAGTCTCCATTTTGTAATCCAGCAATTCAGAAGGCGCATCTGAACCCCCAAACCCTCTGAGATCAACCGCGACAACCCAATAATCCTGGCAAAACTCATCCAGCTGGTACCGCCAGGAGTACCTGCCAAGGAAAAAGTCCTACAAGTAAGTGAAAGGTAACAAGAAACATAAAAAGTACTTGGAAACTATTTAGAGAAACAATCAGACACAAGAGCATCTCATGGCAAGTGCGTAGCCCCTTCACTAGAGATGGGTCAATCAGTTTACCCTAACCAAAATTTGCCCAGACAGGGCAGATGAGCCAATACCAGAATATTTGGGAAACTAATATTCTCCCTGATTCACACTCCAACATCATGAGTTGAAATGGAATCTAACTGTAAGTAAAAGTAGCTGTTGATGAGAGGTCACATGACTCATCTAATGCTGAAGTTAAAATGTAACAGAAAATGAAGCCCTGATAACGATGTAAGATATTACAAATAGGTGCCAATACTGTTTAAAATCCATTAATGCATTTTCACCCTGTTCTGCACATGCTCAGTTGCTCTCGATTCTCAGCACTGTGCCACTGTACCTAAAATCAGAGCCACTAGAGGCTGATCAGCTGACAGCCTAAAATGTACTGTTGTGCGGAGGGAACACAGATTAGAGAGAGAAAAGAAAAGTAGGAGAGGTGACAAGACAAACTCTGCAGCCATGGAACCTAAAAGAGTTAAACTTACAAGTACAGTGTCTTATCTCCCTGATATTCTCTCCTTTATTTATCATTAGCAACCTGTGAACTTTACCACGGTAAAGCTTCTGTCAGCCGTCCTCTCTAACTGAGCCAAGACATACAATTAAGGCTGGAAATGTACATATCTGAATTGAAGAAAGCAATATTTAGTTTTTGAGACTATAAAGAGGGGGAGAGTTTCCAATAAGGACTGCTCTGGGCTTCAACAAAATGGCATTCTCCAGCAAGAAGAAATAGGAGAAATGCTGGAGGCAATTTACAGCACACACTAATTTTGGTAGCATAATTATTAATGTTGATTGTATGTTCTTTTGTTAACCGCTTCCCCGCCACCCTATAGTAGATATACTGTTACAGGGCGGCAGGGGTGCGCAAAATCACGTATATATGCGTGCTTTTGCATTTCTGGGTAGGGGTCACGCACCCCTACCTGCGCCGCCATTCACGGCCGCGGCTGTCAATCACTGGATCCCGGCCAGTAATCACCCAGTGATTAACAAGCATCTCCGACGGGGAGGAAGACTGTTTTGTTTACTAACAGTCTTCCTCCTTATTGGCTCGGGCACAATGCTCTGGATGGCTATGCACAGCATCCAGAGCAGTGTGCTTACAGTGAAGCACACTCCGCCCCCTAGTAAAATGCTCCCTACACATAGTTAACCCTTTGATCGCCCCTCATATTAACCACCTTCCTGTCCAGTGCCATTAGTACAGTGTCAGTGCTTTTTTTTTTAGCACTGATCACTGTATTGGTGTCACTGGGGATGTCACTGACACCAAGTCAGTTCCTCCCAGTGTCAGAATGTCCGCTGCAGTAGAAAAAGAAAAAAAAAAAAAAAAAAACCCGGTATCTATACTGCCATTTGTAAACACTATAACTTTCACGTAAACCAATTCATTTACACATATTGGGATTTTTTTTAGCAAAGACATGTCGCAGAATACATTTTGGTGTAAATTTATGATGAAATTTTTGAATTTTTTTTTTTTACTGGACATGTTTAATAGCAAAAAGTACAAAATATTGTTTTTCTCTCAAAATTGTCGGTCTTATTTTTTTATTGCGCAAAAAAAAAAACCCGCACAGGTGATCAAATACTACCGAAAGAAATCTCAATTTGTGGGAAAAAAAGGACGTAAATTTCATTTGGGTGCAGCGTTGCATGACCGCACAATTGTTAGATAAAGTAACGCAGCGCAGTAACGTAAAAAATTGCCTGGTCAGGAAGGGGGGTGAATCCTCAGGACGGCAAGTGGGTAAAGAACATCAATTGTTATCAAAATGTTATGGGTGAAGTTCCACTTTAAGGAACATATACTGACTTGAGTTTACTGAATATGAGTAAAGTCATAGCCGAATGACAGTGCTACGCTTCATCTCACAAATTCAGGCTTTATTATGCACTCAGGGACCTTGATACACTGGAAGGTTTAGGATGTCTTCCCCAAAAACTGATTTTAAGAGGTTTGTTGATGAGCAACCCTATCCAGGCAGTGCAGAAGTAAACTGTTAAAGGATCAAAGAGACTGACAGAGGTTGCAGTGGTGGAGCAGAGGGAAGGCAGAAGACATGGGGTTCCAGAGAGGTGAGAGTACTACTTCTTCTATTGCAAGGAATTGATGTTTTGATTACATTAGAGACCTGGAAGAGTTTCCCAAATAAACCTATATAGAGATATTAAAGAAGATCCATCATTTTTTTTTATTTTACAGTCCTGTCTCATATTTCCATGTTTCTAAATGTTTTCTAACCCTACAGTAATTGTGAGTACCAACCTGCTCACCTCACTTCCTGCTGTGGCCAACCTGACAACTACTTTGAAGGAGATGGCTGAAGCTCATCCCGGCTGTGAGCACTTTGCTGTGACAAGCAACGGCAAGAGTAGTGTAGAGGGAGAAGGGGGTATTATTATTATTATACAGGATTTATACAGCGCCAACAGTTTGCTCAGCGTTTTACAATATAATGGGAGACAATACAGCAACAATACAGTTCAATACAAGAGGGATAGGAGGGCCTGATCCTTGGAGCTTACAATCTAAGAGGGATGGGCTGGTGGTACAAAAGGTAGAAACGGTGGGGGATGGACTGGTTGGAAGAGTAGAAGATTCCATTGTTAGCTGAGGGCAGGATAGGCTTCCCTGAAGAGATAAGTCTGATAAATTGGAGTAGAGAAATCCAGAGGATGGGGGAAGCTCTGGAAAAGTCCTGGAGATGAGCATGGGAGGAGGAGACAAGGGAGCTAGAGAACAGGAGGTCGTGCGAGGAGCGGAGAGGTTGGTTTGGGTGATATTTGGAGGCAAGATTGGTGATGTAATTTGGGGCAGAGTTATAAATGGCTTTATATGTTATTGTTAATGTTTTGAATTTTTTCCGTTGGGCAATGGGAAGCCAGTGGAGGGATTGGCAGAGAGGGGTGGAGGACACTGAGTGGAGGCCAGTGGAGGGATTGGCAGAGAGGGGTGGAGGACACTGAGTGGAGGTTAGTGGAGGGATTGACAGAGAGGGGTGGCAGATATGGAACGGTTAGTAAGGTGGATGAGTCTGGCAGCAGCATTCATGATAGATTGTAGAGTTGATAACCTACGATTAGGTCGGCCAATGAGGAGGGAGTTACAATAGTCAAGGCGAGAGATAACAAGGGAATTAATAAGTTGCTTAGTAGTTTCCGAGGTTAAGAACGGGCGTATCTTGGAGATGTTGCGGAGGTGAAGTCTACAAGATTTGGGCAGCGACTGGATTTGGGGCTGAAAGGACAGATGGGAGTCTAGGATTACACCTAGTACCCTGGAATGAGGGGAGGAACTGATGGTTATATTATTGGTCTTGATGGAGAAGTCAGGGGAGGGGGCACAGGCTGGGGGGAATAGTATGAGCTCAGTTTTGGAAAACATGAGTTTGAGGAAGTGGAGTGACATCCATGCCGGTATGTCAGCTTCTGCATTCTTCTTGCAGTTGCATGGGGAAAGTGCTCACATATGACACAAGCTACAGTTATGAATCAGCCATTTTCTTCAAAGCAGTTGTCGGATTGGCAATGGCAGGAGGTAAGGGGGCAGGTCGGTACTCATAACTCGTGTTAGAAAGCACTTAGAAACATGGGGCAAATTATTACATGTACTGTGTCACATAGGGGACAGAACTGCTAAATAAACATTTTAATGCTAGATCTTCTTTAAGAATTACCCCCTAGGAATCTGTTTGTTATTTATATCAGCAACACTGGATTCTTACATGGACATGAAAGGCTATAAAGTAACTTCCAGTGAATAATTACTACACATAACAGTGTAATAAGACCTATAGTTATTTGCTACCTGCAGCTAATGTAATGTTGGTAAATCAGCTTCTTTACACAGTGCCTGCCTAGCTCAAAGCTCAGAGTGATGTAATATGCAATTTACAATTTAAGCTATAAAGTTGAAGCATGGCCCTCCAGCTTGCTATTGGCCAATCACTTTGATTAGCCAAAATCAGAGCATGGGAGATTGCAAAGGCCCAGGTAAGAATATTGACTTCCTAGGTGAAGATAAAAACATGCACAATAAAGTATCATGGGTTTTATGGCTTACAGGACTCTCAAAAAACTAGCCGAAATTACTGCTGCACCACAGTTCCAGTTTTCGTATGTTACATTGACTACAGGCACATTTCATAGCAAATTAGAATGGTTTTGCATATACAGGCGTACCTCGGTTTATGAATTTAATGAGCTCTCCAGAACGTTTGTATTGTGAAAAATTTGTAAACCGAAACGCAATTTCCTAAAGGAATGCATTGAAAACCAATTAATCTGTTCCGGAAATCAGAAAAAAGTATAAAAATGTCTTTTATCTGTTCAAAACTCTTTATAAAGTGCACTTTAAAGGCATAAATACTGTACAGGGACATGATTAAAAAAAATTTGTAAATGCCTTGAAAACCAATTAATCCATTCCGGAGGTCAGAAAAAAGTCAAAAAAAGTTTTATCTGTTGAAAACTCTTTATAAAGTGCACTGTAACGGCATAAATACTGTACAGGGACATGATTAAAAAATGTATAAATGCATTGAAAACCAATTAATCCGTTCCAGAGGTCAGAAAAAAAAAGTAAAAAAAAAAGCTTTATCTGTTCAAAACTCTTTATAAAGTGCACTTTAAAAGGCACGGGGCTGGCGCTATAAACCTCCCAATGCATCCTGGGGAAAAAATTCATAAACTGAAGCATTATTTTCAATGGATTTCCATTCGTTCACCGGAAATTACATTAACCAAGGCGTTCGTAAACCAAAGTACGCCTGTATTTAGTTTCTTTATTTATTAAAGAGATTATTGTGGAGTTTTTCAGTTATGAAAATGCCAATTCAAATCTGATTAGTTGCCATAGGCAATCCTGACAGTTTTTTTTTCTTATTTTTATGCATTTTCTTTATATTATGATAAGCAAAAAATCAGCATAAAGATGTGGACATTGAACCTATAATTACCAAATCACATTACCAGTTTTCAGGGAAGCCGTGTAGGAACAGCATCAATGGGCTTCCTTTTGCTCCAGATGCCACATAATGGAAGCGCATCCCAGAACTCTGTTCAAACAAAGAGCAGAACATTACTGAATTAAAGAACAGAGGAACCCTTGCAGACCTATAGTCCTTCCCTAAAGGCCACTTTGCCAAGCTGTTGACAGGCTTTCCCAATGATTAATAATCAAAATACCCTCTGCACAATTACCTCAATCAAAAAATGTCAACATAAAGTGTGTGAGTATTAATGGGCTGCTGCCTGCACTGACATGTTTTCCCACATCTACATAGTGAGGCAGAGTTACTAAAACTGCATGGTGCAAAATCTGGTGCAGCTCTGAATAGAAACCAATCAGCTTCCAGGTTTTATTGTCAAAGCTTGATTAAACAAGCTGGAGTTAGAAGCTGATTGGCTACCATGCACAGCTGCACCAGATTCTGAGTGCTCCAGTTTTAGTAAATCTACCCCAGTATATCTACACCATTTTAAGTTTTACAAAACTATCGTGCACCCAACAAAATGACTTCATACGCATTTCCAAAAAGTTAATCAAGGTGATTGTAGCCGTATTAGTGCATTTGCGACAGAAACAATTGAGTACTGTCAGTGATACTTTTTTTATTTGCACTAACATACAATTTTGAGGACAAGCTTTCGGGGTATGTCTCCTTCTTCAAAGTCCAAGTAGTACTGTTACAAATCACAAAGTTTAAGCAGAATGTTAGAAGGGATGAAAAAAAAAAAGGCTACAGATAAAATACAGCAAAAGCGAGGGGGGGGGGGGGGGGATACTACACTCACACAGAGGGAGTCAAGCTTCAGCTAATAGTCATAAAATTGTCAGATAATGGTTGAGGAATCCCATGTCCAAGTTAAGGCCGTTCTCTCTTGTGTCAAAGAGAATTATCATTCTTAGTTCAACAGTTTTTCTTTCCTGAATGGATTTGAAATTTCCTTTCAGAACTAAAACATTGAGGTCTCCCATTGTGTGGCCTGGTTGTGCGAAATGGTGTCCTACAGGTGTGCAGAGATCATCTTCTTTATGTTCCTTGATGGTATGTCTGTGCAAATTCATCCTTGTTTGCAACTTCTGTCCTGTTTCACCAACATAATATCCTTTGCTGCATTTTCTGCACTGGATAAGGTACAGAACATTACTGGAGGTGCAGCTGGATGATCCGGAAATATTGAAGATCCCTTTTGAGTGTCTGACACTTTTTGATGGATTGATTTGGTTGCACAGTTTGCAGCGTTTCTTATTGCAGGGTTTGCTTCCATTATTTGTGACCTCATAATCAGAAGGAAGTTTCCTACTGATTAGTTTATTTCTGAGGTTGGGGGTTGTCTGAAAGCCAGTATTGGGGGTTGCTGGAATATTTCTTTCAGAGTTCCATAGGTCCATCCTCTGTTATGATGGGTTGTAAATCTTTGATTATTTTTCTTATTCCTTCTAGTCCTGGGTTGTATGTGGTTACTAGAGGTACACGGTTGTTTGTTTTTTTCTCTTTGTACTGAAGTTTTTGAACTAAAACTTTTGAACTAAGAATGATAATTCTATTTGACACAAGAGATAACGGCCTTAACTTGGACATGGGATTCCTCAACCATTATCCGACAGTTTTATGACTATTAGCTGAAGCTTGACTCCCTCTGTGTGAGTGTAGTATCCCCCCCCCCCCCTCGCTTTTGCTGTATCTTATCTGTAGCCTTTTTTTTTTTTTTTCATCCCTTCTAACATTCTGCTTAAACTTTGTGATTTGTAATAGTACTGCTTGGACATTGAAGAAGGGGACATACCCCAAAAGCTTGTCCTCAAAATTGTATGTTAGCGCAAATAAAAAAAGTATCACGGACAGTACTCAAAAAGTTAATCAAAACTTTCAAAATGCCTCAAGGTCTGTATATTAATGATCTGGGAGTCCCAAATCCAAAATACAGATATAAAAACAAACAAAAAAGATTAGTTGTGGACTCAACCAAGATTAGTGGGTTTTCTATACTATTACTATTCAGGGATGTTGAATTTGTATCGCCTGACGCCTGGGACATGTAGTTCCGGGCGTCGGGCAGGACGTTTTTTTCAACCTTTAGTCCTGCTGTGGGCAAGCAGCAGGGCTCACCTGTCAGGTGGAAGCATTCTGGAACTGTGGGCTGTGTGGAAGCAATTGGGCGGCAGCGCTGCGCCAGGATGAGAGAAATAATTCTAGCACCAGACCTCCTCCATAACACTATACTGATGACCTATAAGGGTCTTTTAAAGGGTCGCCTATAAAAAAAATATAGGGTACTGAAGTTTGTTGCCATTTCATGAGTGCACGCAAATTTAAGGTTTGACATATTGGATATCTATTTACTCTGTGGAACCTCATCTTTTATATTTTACCAAAAAATAGGGTAATTTGTTGCTTTTTTGTGCCCTAAAATTAATTTTGTGTATTTTTAACTGAAATTGTGCATTTCATAGACCTTTGTGGTAATATCATGCATCATAAAAAATTAGAACAACCGCGATTTTATTCTCTAGGGTCTCTGATTTCAGAAAAATATATAATGTTTGGGGGTTTTGTGTAATCTTCAGGCCCAAAATGATTTTTTTTAACCCTGTGCAAAAAACGCAAAAAAAAAAATGGCTCTGGCGCAAAAGGGATAAAGGATAAGCCGGACACTCCCCATTCCTGACAAGCACCAATCGGTGCTCTTTACACTGCAAGGTGTTTTTCCTCCCTGCTAGTTCCCAGGTGCGGTGCTGGAGACAGGCAGGGAGGGAAGGAGGAGATAAAACAGCGCAATGTTAAAAACATTTAAATGTTTAAGTTGCCATAAAGCCCCTTTTGATTTTAAAAGTCCCAGAGATTCCTAACAGCACCTCAGATTTAAATACAGTTTTGGTTAAAATAGATTTTTTTTTTTTTTTTTAACAGGACAAGTATATTGTCATGAGGGACATGTAGATTGGGACACCAATTTAGTCCCTGGACAAGTAGTTTTTTTCAACAATTTCCACACCCCCGTATATTCTAAATCAAAAAGGCTGGTAGTCAAAGCGCATGAACAATGCCTTTAATTATATAAAATATATATATATCTATATATATATAAAAACAGACCACACTCCATGAATCTTGCTTATTCCCCCCAATGGGATGCCATATATTGAAATCATTTAGCATACACTCTTAGATTGACCATAACCGCTCAACATATTGAATTCAGATATCTTTAACTCATCTTCAAAAGTAGATACTGTATCTCTTGTATCACAAGTTTATGCCACTCGAAAGAAAATATGATTGGTTAAAGCCCCAGATGGATAATAATGTGAAGTCCAGAGGAAGATATCTTGTACACAATGTAAATCATGGTGACCTCCCTCTTACACTGAGATTGTAGCCATATAGATAACACATTAAGGATGAACACTGAAGTAATCCCAAAGTGGTTTCCAGACGTCATGTAATCCAGAGGAGGAAATTAATTATACATGTCCTTACCTCCCTCTAGTGCTTGATAATTAAGAGCGTGGTCCAGAGCAGGATTGGTATACAGAGTTGTGGCCTCCTCATACATTGGTGTGCATTGTTGTAAAAAGTCTGGTCCAAACAAACAAACTCATGGGTCATCAATTGAGTAGCATTTCATGAGACAAGAGAGGCAGTCCATAAACATGTAATAGTCGAGAGGTTCCTCAGGAGTAGAACAGTTCAGAGCAGTAACATAAGGTCATAGTGAAGTTGGTAATGATACTTTTCATGCTGTTGGCACCAAGGCAAATCCCATTAGGAGACCAGGCATTGTGGAAGTAGCCCTTCTGACCAGGTTCGCCGGTACATCCGGCTGCCTCAGAGGTAGGCTCAGATTTGTTTGGCATGCCTCATGGGCCGGTCCCTAAAATGGCCGCTACGTTTCCACCCACAAATATAATGGAACTGACCCAGACTGCGCTTGAGCACTTCCGTTAGAATACTGCTTCCCCATCTGAACACCGATAACAGACACCACAGCCAACCATACAAGACTAGACGACACCAGTCAGTCTGAACTCTTTATTTTAAACTCAAACGGGCTTTTTATACAATACACACTGAGACTGATCACTTGATCATATGCAAACGCAGCTATATATAGAAATAGACTTAACACTCTAAACAGTAAGTTAATTAGGTTACTAGCTGGATGACCAAAACAAAAAGGTGAATGGGAATTCACACCTAGACAATGGTTTGATGAATTAGGATCTCACTACAGAGCAGACGGACCTGCTCCTACACTAGAGTAGAGGAGAGGCCAGCGTAATCAGCTCTTTCAATTCACATGTCTAGTTCAGAATCAACAACCAGGAATAGTCTTCATATGGCTGATCAATATTACCGTCCCATCTGAAGTAATTCCAACCACATTCTCAGCGTCCATTAGTCACCCTGTGCCCCTAAGAGACACAGGGTGACTTACACATAAGAGGGATATGGGGAGCTGAGACAGGGGTCTCCCAACCTCTGGAAAGTAAGCTGGGTTCCATGAGCCCCCCACCCAAAGTGACTCCCATTACAGTTGGCACCAAGGCAAAGCCCATTAGGAGACCAGTCAGTGTGGAAATAGCCCTCCTGACCAGTTTCGCCAGTACATCCGGCTGCCTCAGAGGTAGGCTCAGATTTGTTTGGCATGCCTCATGGGCCGGTCCCTAAAATGGCCACCACGTTTCCACCGCAAAGGCGCAATTTACAAAAAGTTAACTTTCATGATGGAAATTTTATATGGTATAACAATGAATAATCAACGCAATAAATGTAAAGAATTTACAAATATTGCATAAAAGTCCAGCGTGTTTGTTTATCGTAAATGCCAATAAGTGAATCCAAATCCCACGTGCTCCACCACCTATAACCTTAGGCTCACATCTGAAGATATTGAACTATATGGAAAAATAGGTCTCACTGTGACCTATTACAAACAATAATGTGGCGCTAATACAATAAAAATATAATGAAACCCACAAACATGGATACAAAGATAATGTAATAAATGCAAATAATAAAATAAAAATAATAATAATAAACATGCAAAA